TCTTATTTTTCTATTATAGATTTCTTTTTAGATAATACAATTCCTTCTTTTTTACATTCGTTTATAAATTCGATTAAATGATTTCTATGTTCTTCTTTACTATTAGAACATATTAATATATTATCTATATATATAATTAGAAATTCATTAAACTTTTTAAATATATTATCCATTTTTCTTTGATATATTTGTGGTGCATTTTTCTAACAAAATGTTATAACTAACCATTCATATTTTACTTGAGGTGTGCTAAATGCAGTATATTATATACTATCTTCTTCCATTTTTACTTGTCAAACCCTGATTTACAATCAAATTTAGAATAATATTGTTTTTCTCTTGCAAGATTTATTAACACTTCTTTATTTGGTAGAAAGTAACCATCAAATTTAGTTTATTTGTTTAATTCTTTATAATTTATGACAATCCTAGCTTTTCCTCTAATTTGTTCAGAATGTTTCATAACCATAAAAGTTGGGCTATTATGAGGTCCATTACTATATCTAATAAATTTTTGTTCTAACAATTCTTTTATCTGATTTTTAAATTCTTGTGTATCTTCTATAGTATACATCATTGATCTGACTCTTATTATAACATTTTCTGTTAATTCTATTTTGGCTTTTGGGTGATGTGGCTTCCAGAATAATAATGAATTTTCTCCATGAACTTTTTCTAGTTGTTCAATTATTTTTTCTATATTCATTTCTATTCCTGTTTTTAGAACTTTTTTGTACAATATTCTTTTACTTTTATTTCATTATATACGATTGATTTTTTCTCTCATTTATCATCAAGTTGGGCTGGCTGAACTCTATAATGTTTAAATTCTCTAGAAATCTTTAATAAGTGTCCATAAGGTGTTTGTAGTATTATCATATAATTATTTTGTTTATAATATTGAAATTGTTGTATGAAATCATTTCCTAATAATATATCACATTCTAGTTTATCATATTTATATACTTTATTTATTGTAACTTGTTTACTTCCAAAAATTATATTAACTTTATCAACACTATTAATTATCTGAGTACTTTCTCTTATAACTCCAGTTATTTTTTTGTTACTATTATTATTCTATGATTTTATTAAAATACTTTTAAATATTGTTATATCACTTTCTGTATCTATTAAAGCACAAGTTGTTATATTTGTCTCTACAATAGTAATTTGTATATATACGGTTAATGTAAAACTTATCAGATTATTCATTTAATTCTTTTTACATAGTGTAGTTTGTCCATTATGAACAATATATAATACTTCTCTTTTTATATTATAGTCTTCTAATCCATTTAGAAAGCTCATTCCTAAAAGTATATGGGGGTTTATATCCATACTCATATCCATGTAATATAGTACTAAAAGATCTATTCTTCTTATTTTTATTGGTACTTTAACTTCCAAATCTGTAATATGTACCTGTCCATCAAAATTTACATATTTATATGACCCAATTTTATGAGTTATTAATCCTTTATTTCTAATTGAAGCTATATGACATTCATTAGTCTATTAATATATTCGGTCCATTTATATGTTCTCTTCCATTATAATATTCTCCTTCTATTTTCATATTTCCAACATTCCTATATAATTTTATTTCTTTTATTTTGTTGATTTTTTCTAACTGGTTTTTATTAGTTATTTTAAAACTTTTTTATTTTTAATTAATTTTTCATCCTTAAATGTTATATTATTAGAACATACTCCTTCATTTAATTCTGTGATTTCAAGTTTATTTTTTACTATGCTAAATTCATATTTTTTTCTGGAATTAAACTTATTTGTTTATTTGGTTATATTATTTTACTAATATCTTTACATTCTTTATAAACTTCAATATATGGTTTATTGGATAAATATTCTCATAATTAGAATTGGTAAATGTATATAAAGTTCTATACTCTATAATCATAATTTGATCACCTGGTTGTATAATATCATCTCTATGTAGCTTAAAATGTAGTCCTAAAATTTCATTAAAATTTTTATCTTTTAATGATATACAATATTTTGGGTAACATGTAAACATAATTTTTTGATATGCCAAATTTCTCTCTGTTGTTCCAAAATGACCGTCTTTTAAGTTTATTATTCTTCCATCATGTAAAGTTATAGTTGAGGGTGAATCTATCCCTTCTCTAAATAGTGATTTAAACATTATTTGTATTCCTACTAAATAAACATATTGATTTTTTCACTAATCTTTGTTAATAATTCATCAACTGTATTTTTTGTTAAAAGATTTAATTTATGTTGTCCATAAGTCGTTCTTACATCCATGATTTTTTCTATTTTGTGATAGTCATTTATTGCTATTCTTTCTCTTTTCAAAATTCTAACAAAAACTTCCCATTTTCCCATTTTTAAATTTAAAGATATTTTTTGTAATTTTCTAAATTTGTTATTATCAAAAATGACTTTTAATCCATATTCTTCTATTCCTTTATATTCTTGTATATTTATAATATTATTTTCTATTTCTTCAATTTCTCTATTCAGATCCTGATTCATCTTTTTCTGTTTCACTTATATATACTTTTCGATCATAATATTCTTCAATATCTGATATTTCACTTAATTCATCTTTTATTTCTAAATATTCTTTTTGTAATATTTTAACTTTCTTTTTATCACAATTAGGGCTTATATGACATATTTCTGCACAATTTCAACATTTACATTGGTTTTTATTTTTTTTATAATTCTTATTATTCTGTTGATTATATGAGTTATTTTTTCTTTTATAATATCTCCTTTTAGGTTCTATATTTTAATTGAAATTTCTAAATTTTTTAAATTTTTTATTTTCATGTTTTCTTTTATTAATTCTTCTTTCAGGATTACATTCCTATTTCACAGGGGTTTTCATATTTTTACAACATATTCAAGTTAATTTTCCTAATTTTTTCATTAATTGTCTTTATTGACATATATATGCAAGTCTTTCAAATAAAGATTTTATTCTTGAGCCTAAAGTTCTAGGTATCCCAATATTATTTCTAACATATTTTTCAAATTCTATTTTAAAATATATTGCCCAAGAACTTGGTAATTTATTATAGTACATATCTTGGTATACTTCTTGGTTTTTATTACTGTAAAATTGAACATAATAATAGTTTCTAGATTCACAAGTATATTCTTTAATTTTAAACATATCACATATTGTTAAATTTATTAGTTTAATCCTAGCACTATCTTTTTCTCTTATTTCTTCTCTTTCAGCATTTCTTATCCAATTTTCTCCTAAAAATTCATCAGATATATATTATACTAATTTTTCTATACCTTGTCTATCTGATTTTATTATTTCTGTTTGTACATTCCTTTTTATTAATGTTTTTGTATCATTACTTATTCCTTCCCACCAATTTCTAACATCTCTTTCAAAGGATGCAATTAAGAAATCTATTCTTCATTCAATACTTTCCCATGTATCATCTTTATTATATAAAAAGAATAATATCATTGAATCTGCACAAGTTAATAAGGCTTTTTTGGTATCTATTTTACAGTTTAAATCTAATTTTGTTCCTCCATGATTAATTGGTTTATCATAATTATCATTTAATTCAAATTTATCTTTATATTTATTTTCTTTAGGTAGTTGTCTATATCTTACTTTATCATAGAATTGTTTATATGATTTATTATATATAGGTGCATAACTTTCATCTGTATCATGTAATTCCTATTTAGAGGTTCCTACTGGATTAAGTTCTCTTCCGATATTAATTAAAACTTGGTATTCACTTATATCAGATAGACTTAGTTGATGAAAATTTTCTATTAGTAAATCTAATTCTTCATTCATTTTTATCTTCTTTTTCATCTATTTTTTCCTAATGATTTTTTTCTAAATCCTTCTTCTTCTTCTAATATTTTTGGTAATATATTTTTTCTAAATTCATAATTCATATTTCCTGTTTCTATTATTATATTTACTTTTTCTATATATTTCTTTCATAATCGAGTAATTTATTTTTCTATGAGTTTTTTTTATCTATTTTCTTATCTTTATTTTTATTATTTTCTTTTAATTCTCTGATTTCAATTTTTAATATATTTATATCGTTTCTTGTTTCTTTTACTTCATTTCTTAAATATTGTACATCATTTATTAGCATTTTTATTAATAATTTTAATTCTTCCATATATTCATTTATTGACATCTTAGTTTTTCCTTATTTCTAACACAGGATAATTTGCATCTTTTATCTTCCTTCCTATCTATTATTTTCCCAAATCTTCTTTCAGCTATATCTAGATCTACTAATTCTTCTTTTACTATAGTAAAATATTTACTTTCAAGTCTTAATCTTTCACATTTTAATTTTGTTAATTGTCTATTATTTGATATTCTTATTCTTTTAGTACTAACATTATATTTCTTATTTCTTCTTGTATTTTATCCATTTTAAAAAGTAATTTATTCAATTTTTGATGCGTATTATCAATTTTACTCATTTTTTTTTGTATTATAAATTATTTTCCTCATCTTCATATATATTAATAATTTTTTCATATATATATATATATATCCTTTATTGTTTATATTATTAATTTTTCTAATATTTGTTCTTTTATTTCTTTAGGCAATTCTTTAATTATTGTTAGTGTCATTATTTTTAATTTATTATGAATAGGTTCTAAAAATATATAACTTCCTCTTTCTTCTTCTAAACACCAATATTTATCTATTTTTCTTATTTTAATTTCCATAATCTCTATGATTTTATCAAGATATAAATATTTTTGTATGCTAATTTAAGATGTATAATCTAAATATTCTTTTATCTTTTTAATAGTTAATCTTTTATTTATTTATAAAATCTAAGTATTAATCTAAATTTGGAAATTTTTATTTCTATTTTTTTATAGGTTTTCTCATAATCTTTATGGCTTTGATACCAATTAAAGGGGCTACTTAGAGCGAACAAAACTCAAATAAATCAAATAAAAATATTAATCAAATAAAATTATCAAATTTCAACCAATGTCTAAATTTTTAAGGACTAAAATAGATGATTTTTATATTATGGTACATTGTTATGTAATATCCAAATGGATGGTATTTTTGATATGTAAATTGTGTAAGGGTCATTTTAGAAAAGTAACCCTTTTGAAAAAGCTATTTCCGTATATTTCCCTTGATTATTAGTGTTGAATATCGATTATATGTTTTTTCTTTCGATTACTTGAATTGATTGTTTGTATCAAATAGAATTTTCTAAAACATAAATATGCATTTTCTTATGATGAGCAAAATATTAATAAAATGACTGTTCAAAATCAAATAGATGAAAATGATGAACAAAATATTAATAAAAAAATATTTTTAAATGTAAATCTGCATTTCTCTCGGGTATAATATGAATCATTCAAAAACTAAGAACAAAGTATTCTATTTGTACAAAGTTTGATTGTGTCCTCTAATTCAAAATCTCTATGTCCGCCCTTGTCTACAACTTTGCTTCTAGGGCTTGAATTGTCTCTATATATATATATATTTGAATCTTCTTTCAATTTATGTATTGTCGATATTATATTTTTCTCTCCATTGATTGTTAATAATAAAATTACTCAATTCTTCTACCAATCTTTCTTCTTGTTCTTGCTTGTGCGACCAATAGTTTATATCGTACCATACTTACCTCCCTCTTTTTCCCAACATTTATCATATTAACCATATGTGATTATAGTACTCGATCCGTCTTAAGCCCCATATGCACCAATAAATTTAGACTAAAAAATAATTTTGTTTTTCTTTCAGAAATTATATGAATTAGATATCTATGTTACAAAATCAAATTAGATTCAAATATAAATTAAATCCTAGGATCAACGTCATGCTAAATTACTAGGATTCACAGATTCAGATAATATACTTGTATCCATTGTAAACGATTGCCTACTGTTGCGGAATTACTGCGACAATCGACTATGTACCGATGAATGCAAATGAAGAGGGTGGTTTTGTGATCTTCCTCAACCAAATCTCCTTATTCCTCAATGGGACCGTGATTTCTCTTCTCGATGGGGAGAAGGGAAAAGAGTGTATGATTTGGTATATTGGGGACCATAACCAAAATAACCTTTATATACTACTTAATTAAGGTTCCCATTATCCCTTAATTAGAGTAATATTAGTCGGTATCTACTCACTTAGTCCATATTAATTTAAGTAGTCTATGGGCATACAAAAAATAGGCCACTTGATTTTTGCCCATTATATTAAATAGCTAATATAATTGTATTAATATGTTGCCAATATTAATTTAGGAAAATCGTGTTTTTCTAACAATCTCCCACTTGGCTACATATTATTCCTTTAAACAATTATATTACAAAACTCCTTAGGCGCGCATCTGTATGCTATTTATCATTAGACTGCTCCTTAAACAATTTTGTCCATCTCATATACTAATAATGGAACCACCACAACTTTCATCACAATACATTAGTGATTAAACCACGATGATCAACATATTAATACACTTAATGATATAGATCAAATATGGATGAGTAGCATGGAAATTTACATGAAATGTGATCTCAAACATGCTTATTTCCAACTGGTCCTTCTGTAGTCTTTAGTGAGATCATTCCAAAGTCCTTAATGCAATGCAAACATTGCACAATGAAAACACAAGCAAACTCAGAAATAGAATCATAGACCATCAACTTTATTCTGCAGAAGGTTAAATAATTTAATGTCTAAAGCAAACATATAGAACATAAAATTGACTCCCACTAGACTAGAATATCCTCGAAAACAACGCCCATGTGAGCAGTGTGCTCATGAAAGACCTTCGGCGTTAAGCCCTTGGTTAGTGGGTCCGTTAGCATGGAATTTGTTCCTATATGTTCTATGAAAATTTGTTTATCTTGAACTCTCTCCTTAACAACTAGAAACTTGATATCAATGAATTTCGACTTTGTCGAACTCCTATTGTTGTTGGAGTAAAGCACCGCTGAGTTATTGTCACAATAAATCTTTAATGGCCTGTCAATGCCATCTACCACTCATAGTCCAGTGACAAAGTTTCGTAGCCATATTCCATGGTTGGATGCCTCACAACAAGCAATGAACTCCGCAGCCATGGTTGAAGAAACTATGAGAGTTTGTTTAGCAGACTTCCATGAGATAGCTCCTTCAGTCAACATAAAGACGTAGCCTGATGTGGAGCGTCTGCTATCTTGGTATCCCGCAAAATCGGAGTCAGAGAACCCGATGATCTCTAAACTATCTGATCTCCGATAAGTGAGCATGTAGTCTTTTGTTCTCCTCAAATAACGCATCACGCGTTTGGCTGCTTTCCAATGTTGCATGCCAGGATTACTCAAGTATCTACCCAAAACTCCCACTATAAATGCTATGTCGGGACCAGTACAAATTAGAGCGTACATTAGACTCCCTACCACTGATACATAGGGAATCTTCTGCATCTCTTCTCTTTGAAGATCATTATTGGGGCACTGTTTGAGACTAAACTTGTCTCCTTTAGAGATGGACGTGTCTCCTGGTCTACTATCTTTCATGCCAAATCTACTCAAAACCTTATCGATATAGCTCTTTTGTGAAAGTCCAAGGATACCTCGAGAACGATCTCTCAGTATCTGAATACCTAATACAAAAGAGGCATCCCAAGATCTTTCATCTCGAATTTCTTCGTCAGAAATTTCTTGGTTTCATGCAATAAGCCTATATCGCTGCTAGCGAGTAGAATATCATTAGCATATAATACCAAGAAGATATATTTACTCCCACTGAACTTATGATATACACAGTCATCAACAACATTTGCCTCGAAACCGTACGAGGTAATGATTTGATGGAACTTGTGATACCATTGATGGGAAGCTTGTTTGAGACCGTAGATGGATTTCTTCAACTTACAAACCATAGACTTTGGATCTCCTGATACAAAGCTTTTTGGTTGTACCATGTAAATCGTCTCATCAATGTCTCCATTGAGAAATGCAATCTTGACATCCATCCACTAGTGCCATTATTGTTCTAAAAGAGTCTTTCGAAGATACCGGAGAGAAAGTCTCTTTGTAGTCTATGCCTTCCTTTTAAGTAAAGCCTTTAGCGACTAGACGAATTTAGGCAACTCGACGAGATCCCAAACGTCATTATCTTTCATAGACTTTATCTCATCTTTCATGGCATCAATCCACTTCTGAGAGTTAGAACTGCGCATGGCCTGATGGAAGTTGATCGGTTCATCCTTCGTTAAACCAACGACATCCTCATGTTCTTGAAGAAAGACGATATAATCGTCTGAAATCGCATTTCTTCTCTTCCTAGTGGATCTCCTTAATAGCACTTCTTGAAGTTGTTGAGTTTGTTCTATAGGTGGTGCTTGAGGAAGAATCTCATTGTTGTCTTGGTCTGAAATAATGTCAGGAATAGGAGCCTGAACATTGCCATCTATTGCCAGAACTGTGTCTTGAACAACAATAGGTACAGAGACCTGATTGCTGTCAATAACAGATTCTTCTTCAAAGACAACGTTCCTTATGTTTCCTTCCCCTCCAAACTCAATATCCTCAAGGAATCTCGCATTTCCCGTTTCAAAGAAGGATCTTGATGTGGGATAGTAAAACTTATAGCCACGAGAGCGTTCAGCGTAACCAACGAAATAGCAGCTAACCGTCCTTGAGTCCAATTTTCTTTCATGTGGCCTATAAGGCCGTGCCTCAGCTGGACAACCCCAAATGTGCAAGTGCTTAATGCTAGGCTTCTTGCCTGTCCACAGCTCATAAGGGGTTTTGGCAACTGCCTTGCTTGGTACCCTGTTAAGAATGTACACTGCGGTCTTCAAAGCTTCTCCCCAAAGTGACTCTAGTAAGGAGGAATGACTTATCATACTCCTTACCATATCCTTAAGAGTTCAGTTTCGTCGTTCTGCAACACCATTCATACTAGGTTTGCCCGACATGGTGTATTGCGGAACAATTCCACACTCATTGAGGAAAATAGCGAAGGGTCCTGGATGTTGTTCTCCTGATCCATCATATCTTCCGTAGTATTCACCACCACGATCAGATTTGATAGCCTTTATTTTCTTTCCAAGTTGGAGTTCAACTTCAGCTTTAAAAGACTTGAAAACATCCAAGGATTGAGACTTCTCGTGTATTAAATATAGGTAACCGAATCTAGAGTGATTGTCTATGAACGTAATGAAGTATTGTTGTCCATTCCAAGAAGTCGTAGGGAATGGGCCACAGATATCAGTGTGTATCAGTTCTAAGATGTATGTAGCTCTCTCGACACCTAATTTTCTCATATTTGTTCTTTTCCCCTTGATGCACTCAACACAAACTTGGAAGTTTGTTAAATCTAGGGGTTCAAGAATTTCATCCGACACAAGCCTCTGAATTCTCTGCTTAGAGATATGACCTAAACGCTTGTGCCATAAAGTGGCATAATTCTCACTTAATTTTCACTTTGTACCACGTGAACTTGTTTGCAGTATTTCGTTATAGGAACTAACAATATCAAGTATATACAGATTATCAATCATATAACCGGAACCAACAAAATTTGAATTTTGATAGAGACTAACTTTATTATTTCCAAATGAACAAGAAAATCCTGATTTGTCCAAACTAGAAATAGAAATTAAATTCCGTCTAAAGGACGGTGCAACAAATGTCTCAAACAAATCCAAATAAAACCCAGTTTTTAATTGTAATCTGAAAGTCCCTATAGCCTCTACCGCAACTTTATTGCCATCGCCCACAAAGATGAATCTTTCAGCATTATTTGGCGATCGGCTCCACAAGCAATCCTGCATGGACATACTTATATGAGTAGTAGCACCAGAATCTACCCACCAAGTATCCTTAGGTACAGAAGCTAAATTAATTTCAGAACAAACTAAAGTTAGAAGCATACCCTTCTTTACACGCCAGGCAGCGTACTTGGGACACTCCTTCATGTGTCCCGACTTCTTACAGAAGTAGTAGGTAAACTCCTTATCCTGCTTCTTTTGCTTCTTCTGCTGAGAAGTTCCTTCCACAGCATCCTTAGCTCTCTTCTTTTTCTTGTTCTGAGAGGTTGAGGCCAAGTGAGCACTCTCAGTCTTATCATGCTGTTGCCTCTCTTCTTCTTGCACACAGTGGGATATAAGCTCATTTAGGGACCATTTGTCCTTCTGAGTGTTATAACTCACTTTGAATTGCCCAAAGTGCGCAGGAAGAGAGATCAAAATCAAGTGCACGAGCAAGTCATCAGACAACTCCAACTTAAGCGACTTGAGTTTTGATGCGAGATGAGACATCTCCATGATGTACTCCCTTATGTTCCCTTTGCCCTTATACTTCATGGAAACGAGTTTAGCCAAAAGGTTACTCGCCTCCGATTTTTCATTCTTGGCAAAATATTGCTCAATTTCTTCAAGGAACTTCTTGGCACTCCCGCTCTCAGTAATAGAGCCCCGAAACGCTTCCGGAATGGAACGTTTCATGATCATCAAGCACATCCAGTCAGAGCGATCCCACTTTTCAATTTTACCCTCATTGGGGTTTTCCGGAGTAGAAGCGGGTCGATCTGAACGAAGTGCAAGATCCAAATCCATACAGCCGAGGACAATTTCCACGGCTTCTTTCCAAACTTTAAAGTTCGTCCCGCTCAGCATTGCGATGTTGCTGACTTGAGCAAAGACGTTCGCAGCATTAACAACAGAAACTGTATAGAGAACAAAATAAGCAAGCATGTCAAATAAGAAAATTAAGACACGCACAAATAATCCAGATTTTGGGATCCATCTCAAGATACCTAGTACAGCATTAATTCCTAGTCTTTGAACAGAGAAATTAACTGTAATTGGTACTCTTGGTGCAATGATCAAACATTGACAATCAATTCTGTCAAATAATAGCCTTTCTTTGGACCGACTATTATTCACATGAAATGTCTTTATAATTTTCACACATTTATCATCACAAGCACGTTGTTATTTGACCAAATTGTGTCTTCCTTTGGGCCGAGCACAATTCGCATAAATAACTCCGTACAAAACATCTATGTATTTTCAATTAAATCAATCTACACAATAGGGGTTACTTTGACAACATGTTGCTTTAATCAATTAAATTGAATATACTAGACATCCAAAGGGAACAATCAAAACCAAAGTTTTGAATTTATTTTAAAACTTAAAATTGGAAAAACTGAATTCTCAAAGGCACATGTTTTTTTTATTTTAAACCAAAAGGCACATGTCTTGGACCCATTATGAAACAAAAGTCAACAATTGCAACTGAATCATATAATGCAATTGAAATTGATCCATTGTGAAAGGTTACGTGTATTACCAATCTATACTAAATATGCCAAATAGTATTCTGTCATACACCATTCTATATTGACTCCATTATGAGACATAAAACAAGGGTCAAAAAATGCGGCTAATCCATGCAGTTGAAATTCTGATTTCTGGATCCATAATGAAGGTCACAGATTTTGACAGTGATCTACATGCTATCAAAAGTGATATATCCATTATAAACAGTCCAAAATTGCTGACTTGCTCTTGATGCAATTGAAATTCATTATAAAATGATCCGAAACTGCAGATGTCTAAAAGGCAGATGAAATTCAGATCCCAAAAAAAAAATTAAAATGGACACTGACAGAATTTAAAATCAATACTAACTGTGCCAAAAATTTCGAGATTCGATTTTGCCGAATGCATCAAGAATAATTCTTAAACTTGACAGTTTAAGGAATTTCACAAAATTCAAATATTCTATTCGAGAAAAATAATCCAAATATCATACGAATAGAACATGCACAAATCCTAATAATCTAGCAAATGATGACCGCTTTGATACCACTTGTTAGAAAATCAAATTAGATCCAAATATAAATTGAATCCTAGGATCAACATCATGCTAAATTACTAGAATTCATAGATTCAGATAATATACCTGTATCCATTGTAAACGATTGCCTACTGTTGCGGAATTACTGCAACAATCGACTATGTACCGATGAATGCAAATGAAGAGGGTGATTTTGTGATCTTCCTCAACCAAATCTCCTTATTCCTCAATGGGACCGTGATTTCTCTTCTCGATGGGGAGAAGCGAAAAGAGTGTATGATTTGGTATATTGGGGACCATAACCAAAATAATATTTATATACTACTTAATTAGGGTTCCCATTATTCCTTAACTAGAGTAATATTAGCCGGTATTTACTCACTTAGTCCATATTAATTTGAGTAGTGGTCGAACGTGGCAACCTCTACAAGGTATGGCGACCTCAAGTCCACAGCCACGTAGGGACTTACAGTGGGCCAGGTCGAACCAACTCAACTTCACACCACCTACCCAATCCGAAAAGAGTAGCCCTTTCCATTGCCATCCAGCCACCAAATAAGTTAAATCAAAGACAGGATTAACAAGTGAAAACTATAAATGGGAGTACACAACAAGCTAGAAAAATCTTCTCCCTTGAGTCGCACACGCTTGGAAGATAAAAAAAAAAAAAAAAAACTAATCCGCCATGAACAAGTCGTCCACCATGTAATGGGAAACCGAAACCAGCTCTATGAACCCCGGTTCGCATGATTCTGCGAATGAACAAGCATTCTCAGTCTCTCATAAGAATCAAAACAAGTATGAGCATAGTCAGACATGGCTCGGAAAAACTCAGGCAGCCGGATTTTTAAACTCCCAAGCGACTTGTCCCTCACTTGAATACAGAGCTTCCGATGATCTTCCATTTCCTCTTCCAACCTCTTTTTCAAGCTTTCTACCACAAACTGTTTCTCCAAAAGGGGGTCCTTCGTGTTGGAGCCCACGGATTTCTCCGGGTCATTCTCGTCTGGGGTTCTGTGCTGCATGCTGTACTTCTGATACCATTCTTGGAATGCCTGGTTCTTGCGCATGTACTCTTTTCTGGTTTCTTCAAACTTCTCCTTTAGCTTCATTTCTTCCTCCTGATGGTCAATAATGGACTTTATGACAGCAGCAAAGGAGGAAATTGCGCTTTTGACAACCTCATTCGGAAGCTTTTCGAGTTGGTCGTGCCAAGAATGTAGGAGAGGGTGGATTGGAGGGTTCTGAACTCTTGGGGGTGAAGAGATTTTTTCTTTTATGCTGCTCTCAATCGGGATAAGATTTAACTTCAACCAGCTATTAAGGGCTTGGATGTATTGTCTTTGATTAGTAACGAGCTTTTCAAATTGCGATTGCCATTCCTGGACAACATTCCAAAGCTGGAGTGTATGCTCGTGATGATTTTTGCTCGTTTCAATGGGAGTTCCCGAAATTTCAAGGGGTTTGAGTTCGGCAACAATGTTCAGCTGGCTGTCGTGATGTGTGCACATGGATTTCCACATCTTTGCCATCCTTCAATAGAGTAAAATAATAATCAAGACATAATAAAAGAAAAAAAACATGGGAAACATTCAACTGATGAATCCATTGCAGAGATATTTGATATGAGTGAATACATTTCAGCGGCAAAAGGGATTTTAAGATAACATGATGATGTCAATCAAGGAAAAAAACTCCAGTGTGATGCAGAAAGTAATATAAAGGTTTTGTCCCATATTTGGATTTAAGAGAAATCAATGAAACCTAGGTATACTTGATTGAGAAAGTCAAACAACGTAGCAATCCCCGGAAGAAAAATTACCCTTTTTAAACCAAATATTTGTTTGTTTTTTAAATCAACTAGATTATGAGTTTGAGACTTCAAGTATACATGTAGTGCTATGTATGGTAAGATTTTTTCCTCTGGATAACATTTAATGCAGAAAATCTGATCAACGTGGATGAGGAAGGCAGGACCTGGTAGAAGAGGAAGAGCATTACACAGTAAAAGATGAACAACATATTCAAGTCGGATTTCTTTTAGGATTATTACTGTTAAACTTATGGTAAGTAGATCATGTTATGGAGCATTTCATTAATGCAGAAACCATGAGAGAGAGAATGAGAAGATCTTAATGGCAGGTCAAGAATAAAAATTCAAGCACTCAAAAAAAGTTTCCGGATTTCTTTTAGGATTATTACTGTTAAACTTATGGTAAGTAGATCATGTTATGGAGCATTTCATTAATGCAGAAAGCATGAGAGAGAGAATGAGAAGATCTTAATGGCAGGTCAAGAATAAAAATTTAAGCACTCAAAAAAAGTTTCCATGGCATGATTTAATGATTTAAATTTAAAATTTTTGGATTACATTAAGGTATTTTTCAGAGTATGGCGAAGAATCTCCAGGCCAGAATAAGAAAATGCAGATTAGTCAAGCAGGGAAACACTGTCTAGAGATGACTGACAACATACTACGGCATCGCCCACAGCCTCATTGTTGATGGGGAACTAAATTAGCATACAATGAACTGTCATAAAAATTAATAGATATAGTTTTGGACTAAGGATGAATCAAAACAGAAACTTACCCGTGAATGAGAGCAACAAGTTTTGGATACAACTGCTTGTCGCGTATATCATTGACTTCCGAAACAGTTGAATCCAAAGATTGCCAGTCGACTATATACCGTGTATGCAAATGACTAACAGCAGCTTTTGCTTTCTCCAACTGTTCTGTACTAGCATTACGTTTTTTCAGCTTGTTCAACGCTGAAACTTTCCTCTGATACTCGAGTTTCATAAGCTCACCAGCCTATCAGTGCACAAAAACAACAAATGTTATAAATATGGCCATGCCTACGGAAGAATCCAGGCTTGCATGCCACAACTAGAATAGTTACAACACAGCAGCTAGCCAATTTTTTTTGTCAAAGAAAATTTTATTCCCTGATGCAACAAATTCAAATGGCATCAATTAACCATATATATAAACATGGTCATGCCTAAGGAAGAATCCAGGCGTGCGTGCCACAACTAGAATAGTTACGACACAGCAGCTAACCAATTTTTTTTGTCACAGAAAATTTTATTCCCTGATGTAACAAATTCAAATGGTGCCATATGCAATTATAATGCAAGAATGTTGTATTGTGTGTGGGGCCTTAGTTTCATATACTATATAAAAGAATCTAATTTGCGCAGTTTTTTCAATGTTAAATTAGACAAATAGGTGTGTTTTTCTTCATTTTTTGATCTCATTCATCATATCTCTCAGAATTAGAGAATAAGTTTAATCCAAATCAAAAACTTGCCATAGACATCAATTACAAATCAATATGATAAAATGAAAATCAAAAGATCTGGGATGAAGTGTAAACACACAGAGAATATGATAAATTGATAGTTCTAAGAGAATGTAACGCACCTTCACTTCTTCATATAGCTTTTTCTCCCATGCTAGCAATTTATCCAAGACAGTGGCATGCGTCTCATAATCGTCTGCATCCAAGTTATCCTTAGTGCCATCACCATTTGGTATGCCTCTGAAAGACTTGTTCCATGTAATTACTTGCATTACCCTCGCTGCATGGTCAATGTGCCCTAAAAATAAGAAACAACATTTATCCATTTGTAAGAGAACTGGCGGAGGATCTATTAACTGGATATGGTTTTGCCTCAATAAGTAAGTCAAGCGATTAGGCAAACATTTTAGAACTTCAGATGGAAATAGAAATCTTCTGCTGCAGGTTCATTTAATAGAAATAGAACTAACAACAGGGTCATAATTTGAATAGCATTTCTATCTCAAAACACCCATGAGAAAAACAAATATGGTTTTCCATATTACAATCAATAGTTTTCCAGTCAGGTGACAGTTGGGGGAACGAAACATTACTCCTATATAGAACTCTATCGTAATGCTCGATCCAAGTCAAATAATAAACTGTTTAGGCTATAAGTTTTAAACAAGCATCTAACATTTTGTATGCCTGTTGAGAAAAATCTCCATGAATGAAAAATATTAATGATAAGAAAAGTAATAAAGATTCAAACTTTACACAAGAAATTCAAGTTCACACATGTAAGTTCATTTGAGTCCCAAATGCTGGATTGCCCAGCGGTTACAAGCTTATCTCTTAATTGGCTAATATATTATGAGAAAAATCATTATGTAGACAAGCACAAGAGAATCTACTCCATTCACAAATTATTAATACACTACTATTAGATTATAATCTCTACAAACTGAACAGAAACAACCTTAGTAGCTAACCAGCTCAAAGTTAGTGTCTATACAAAAAATTGAGTAATTTCCCTATACATAGACACTCATGAGTAATAGGAAACAATGCCCTTCGAGAAGATGGCTAATGCTTTTGTGAATGCAATGATCTATACGTATATCCTTAAATAATTCATACTACATTAAGGCACACGTTATGAGAACAAATGGTTTCACAAATGCATGTTTTGTGTTCTAAGATTCAATTTAAACCCCTCTAGTAAATGCAAATTCAATTTCGAGCAACAACCACTTCTAAATCTAACCGAAAATCTTAAACGTTAGGTGAATTCAGACAAAACGCGTCAACAACACATATCACACAAGAACTCAATCAGAAAGCTATTGTTCTCTACCAAAACGGTAAAATGATATTGTCACCTCTATTATCAGCAAAATTAGAATGGTAATGCAAGCGGGTGGCCTCCAGCATCTTCGACACCTCTTGTGCACTTTGGGAAGCCTTGAGGAAATGATCATCAATCTCACCCAAAATCTTTGACAAATCCACACTATTTTTATTTCCTACCATATTCCCACCACTAATCCCTCCTCCACTCATCACAGGTGGCGCTGTGTTTGAATGCAAGAATTGCTTCTCCTTTGCCTCAGTCACCGTCGTCTCCTCAGGTGTCTTAAACTCCTCAACTCCAGGGAATCCCACATTTTTCTCCGGCGTCTTGAACTCCATGTTAATGTTACCCACCTCGTCGAAATTCCCATTTTCATTGCCCTTTTGTCCTTCCATATAATGCTTCTCGTCGTCTTCTTCCTCCACCTCCTCCAATGACTGACCGGGCATATTGTCCCCCATGAAAAAATAATCCCAGGCCACGCCTTTAAGGTCCGGTGGCGGGGGCGGATTAGGGGTTCTTATTGGGGTTTCGGGGCCCATCTCCTCAACCCCTTTTTTCCTTCTATTAAGCCCTCCTTTCTCTTCTTCCTCTTCTTCTTCATCACTCTCATCAATGACAATACCCTTCATTTTCTCCGAGTGAGAAAGCGCAGCAGGCATGGTCATGGAACGCTGAATGGGCGGGAGAGGGGAAAAGGTCGGGAGTGGCGGAGGAGGAGGCAGACTGGACTCCATCACAGAAGGAGGCAACGGCGGCGGCGGCGGCGGTCGCTCCGTAACAGCTGGGTCTCCAGGGCCCACCGCTATAGCTGGTGGCGGCGGGGGCACCTCGCCGGTACCGTAATCGCTCAAGGCAGCGCCAATGTTTTTGAGGGATACGGCGTAGCCCGACTGAGCCGACGCAAATGCATTTCTTACAGAAACAGCCTCTCTCATCAGATTCCTTCTTTCTTTGCATCTTGACACTGATTCTTCATTGTCTATTCTTGATTGTGCACACCCCATTTTCACGCGTACAAATTTCTCCTTTTTTCTACCTTCTTGTCAGTTTTTTGTGCTTGAATCAAAATGATCTTATGGGATTCACACACAGACACAAAATGTAAACAACTAAGTGTATGTACAACTCTTGCTAGCACTTGGAAGATGACGATACATACATATAAAAACGATATATGTATTCTGTCGGTAAATATCGAAAATTTTCTTCTGTTTGGGAATAATATTAATGGCAGAGGAACAAAAATTGATGCTTAATAATGGGAAAAAGAGAGAACGGACAATTCCTGGGCACATAGCACAGTACAGAGCACTGAGCATCTCTCCTGTATCGATGCTTTATACTTATATATGGATCTCTGTTCATATATATTGTATACGCTCCATACTGCATTGAGTGCAATAATAAATGCGATTTACAAATTCAATTTGGGCAATTGTAATAATTGGAGGAACTGCCACAGGAAGGGGAAGGGCGATTACGGATTTTGAAAACGGGGGGCCAACGGTCACATTTTTCGAGGTACAACGATGTCGTTTAAAGTATTAACTTGGGAATGGTCCCTTCTGGTACGTTTATCTTGTTTTAGACTCATAATTGATTTCAAAATAACTTTTGAAAAAGAAAATTGCAAAAAAATGTCATGGGAATGCTGTAAAATGTGTTACTATTAGTAAATACCAGTATTTTAAAAGGAGTAATACATGACGATGCGTGAAGGACTAATCATGGGCTAAGCAAGCTTAGGCAAGGTCTAAGCGTAAAAATGTATTTTCTTATTTTAATATTATTTTTATTTTTAATCAATTGAAAAATTGTTTAATAATTAAAAATAATACATGTCAAACATTTAAAACAAATTTATAGGAAATTTATACATTTTTTCAAAGTTTCCTACAAAAAGATAAGTTCCAAATATAAATATTAAATAATAAATATATAACAAATTTTGGGAGATTTCCTTTGTTCAAGGTTTTGAGTGACTATTTTGAATTTAGAACTGACGAAGTGAAGAAATCAACATTTAAGTTTTAACTTATAAGAATTGTGAAAAAAAAATATATTTTAGAAAAGGATAATTGTTGACCACCGAACTCCGATCTCGCGAAAGTTGTTCACAGGCCCCACCTCTGGCAGATATGAGTTCGGCTACACCCCTCAGCTTGGGTTTACTCGCCGTAACCCCAAAAAGATATCACGATCGCCCTTTGTCATATCACCCTTTAAAACTCGTGCACTTGTCAAAAATGATGTCATCACCATCCAAAGTCTCAAATCCAAGGCACGAAATCTTCAACCTCTTGCAGATCATCATTACCTGAGGAAACATCGGCACACGTTCACCGACCCCGTTGACCAATCACAGGAGGATTCAGTGACCCAACTTTCGAGCTCGACATTGCAGCTAATTCGACTAATTTAACGTAATTTCAACTAAAACACCTCCCTTCTTAAAGCTGGCTCAAAATTAGCCAATGCATATTTTGACGTCAACAATAATTATGCGCGAATAATTGCGCCTAGGCACGCCTTAGTGTTCAACGATTGCTATTGACTGCTAAATAAGGCGTCAAGTCACTTGACTTAGAGGAGCCATCAATGCGCAATGTGCATGCACATCGCACATTGACGGCTCCTCCAAAAACGCCTTTTAGAACGATGGTAAAGACAATACTCTTGAAATCTTAAATTCATTTTTATGATGTTATAAATTAATTGGAGTTCAAAATTTATATATTAATTGTTTCAATAAATTATATTGTCAAAAGTAATTTTAAATTGAAAAGAGACAGTAATACATTCAAAAAACGTACCTTACAAATATATCAACGACCTAGTAATTTAGCTCATATATAAAATTGTTTGACCGCTGAGAAGTCGAAAATAATTCTTGTTTATATCCATATCTTGTTTGCTAAGAGAAATTTAGCTATTGAACATGTTATTTCTATTTTTATTTTTTTTTAAGATTAATTTTGCAAGTAGAATACACTTCGTTAGTCATTATTATTGCAATAGAAAATGACATTAACATGATCATTCAATTTAGTCGAATGGGTCCTCCAATTCGACCATTATTTAGTAAGGCAAGAAAAGTGTGCAAAACCGAGTTTTTGAGTATTTTTTGTATATAGAAATTAAGTAAACATCGAAGGTGAAAAAGAAGAAAATGCATTAACATTGGAAAATCTTTTTATAAAACTACGGTACTAAGATTAATTTTGCAAGTAGAATACACTTCGTTAGTCATTGTTATTGCAATAGAAAATGACATTAACATGATCATTCAATTTAGTCGAATGGGTCCTCCAATTCGACCATTATTTAGTAAGGCAAGAAAAGTGTGCAAAACCGAGTTTTTGAGTATTTTTTGTATATAGAAATTAAGTAAACATCGAAGGTGAAAAAGAAGAAAATGCATTAACATTGGAAAATCTTTTTATAAAACTACGGTACCACTCGAAGAAAACTTTTACACGTTTTCTTGAAAAAACTATGAAGTTCATCAAAAAAGGGAAAGAGAAATCCCAAAAAGCCCAACATGTATGGCAAAAAGAAATTCGTAGGTCTTAGGTAGATGGGTAAAAGGCATGACAAAATGTACAAAAATGAATGTTCAAGGCATGGGGAAAAGGTACATAACCAGTGAAATTAGAGAGGGGAGGTGGGGTGGGGTGGGGTGAGGGGGGTTGGGGAACTACGGTACCACTCGAAGAAAACTTTTACACGTTTTCTTGAAAAAACTATGAAGTTCCTCAAAAAAGGGAAAGAGAAAACCCAAAAAGCCCAACATGTATGGCAAAAAGAAATTCGTAGGTCTTAGGTAGATGGGTAAAAGGCATGACAAAATGGACAAAAATGAATGTTCAAGGCATGGGGAAAAGGTACATAACCAGTGAAATTAGAGAGGGGAGGTGGGGTGGGGTGGGGTGAGGTGGGTTGGGGCATCAATTTATTTATTTTAAAAGGGCACCTTTGAAATGTTTACTTACCCACAAATTCATTTAATTTTCTTATTTCACTTTTAACACCCTAACCTTTTAGCAATAAGGCAATGAACATCCTCAACTCTTGTGAATGAGCACACCACCCCAACCAACTTATTCAAAAAGTCATTTGGTAAATAAGCAGCCTTCGCCTTATTACCGTTCTTATATAAAATAAATATTGCTCGTTTTTTCATTGTAAGTACAATATTTTTTGAAATTTTAAGTATTCTTCTTTGCTTACGAACTAGAATATAGAATTGTGAGCGAGGAAAGCAAACTAAACTATATGATTAAGATAATAATTTTATTTAAAAAAATTCAGATCCCTATAAAATATAAAATATAATTGGTTAAACACATAAAATATATTAATTAACTTTTGTCATTTCCTATGATATATAAATTAGAAACTCTAAATAATAAATTTTGCTCGCCCTCAATCAGTGTTTTAAAAGCGCGTCTAGACAAAATGGACAAAGCTATGTTACATTTTTTGCATGTATATCGCTTGAATCCAATTAGAACGACTACCAAATTTCCACCGTAAGACATTGTCTAAGCTCATTATGTACTTATTCTTTAAATTGATATTTAATTCATACTTTAATTTTTGTGATGATGATGTTAATTAAGGTTCTACATTCTAAAATAACATACAACTTTTTAACATAATGCTTATTTTGATATCTTCATATGATTAAGATAATAATTTTATTTAAAAAAATTCAGATCCCTATAAAATATAAAATATAATTGGTTAAATACATAAAATATATTAATTAACTTTTGTCATTTCCTATGATAAATAAATTAGTAACTCTAAATAATAAATTTTGCTCGCCCTCAATCAGTGTTTTAAAAGCGCGTCTAGACAAGATGGACAAAGCTATGTTACATTTTTTGCATGTATATCGCTTGAATCCAATTAGAACGACTACCAAATTTCCACCGTAAGACATTGTCTAAGCTCATTATGTACTTATTCTTTAAATTGATATTAATTCATACTTTTATTTTTGTGATGATGATGTTAATTAAGGTTCTACATTCTAAAATAACATACAACTTTTTAACATAATGCTTATTTTGATATCTTAGATACCTTTGTCTTGTATAATATAATGACGTGCGTTTGCAATTTTGCAGATATTGAAAAAAATCAATCTCCTCATCGAAGAACAAATAGAAAAAATGCAATATCGTAGATACCATAATGCTTAGAACCCCAGCGCAATAGAGTGCACATAGAGAGAATTTGAGGAGATGATATTTTAAGAGTTGAATTAAATCCAACATGAGAGTCAATAACGGTACAATATAAGCTCTATTTTTTCGTCTTAAGTTTATTTATTTAAAAAATCACATATTCCAACACTTTTTCGTTAAAAAGTCACGTACCAAATTTTTGAACTAACTAAAAATTAGACCATATTTTTCAAATTTGTAATAAAAACCCGAAATAGACCTAATTTGAAGGATGCTGATCCGTGCTGCCATTTTCTTGTGCCTCTCTTTCCAACATGAAGCCCACAAACTATTCCCTTGAATAGGCATGGGGGAAAAATTCATATATCCTATAGGTGATTTCAAAGCTAAGATGACAAGTTTGAATTTGCTGTTTGCAAAAATCAGAAATATAAAACAATCAATTAGTTTCCTAAAAATCAGTGACCACTTACCTTCAAAAGTCGAATTCCATATGTTATCCCATGTGGGGGGAGAGAGAGAGAGAGAGATTACTTGTTACAATTAGTCCCTAAAATCAAGCATCGAGATTCAACTCCCTAAAGTACTGAATACACATTTAAATCCCTCAACCACATAATTAATTGATTATTAAGGTTACATATTTATACAATTTAGTCACAGACTCATAATTTAGATAGTCACATTATTTTTCAGTCACAATTCAAAACTGTATAGGTCACAATTTGTTCATCAATCACAAATCAAAAATTAATATGTCACAATTTGTGTCGGTCATAAATCACAAGGTCACAACTTATTTGATGGTCACAAATTAATATTTTTTTAGGTCACATTGGTCACAATTTATCTTCATCGGTTACATATTGTTTATTGGTCACAGATTAATCAATTCAATGGTCACAATCAAACAAATACTCCGTGACCATCCGATCAAAATCTGCATAACCGGACCCTGTCCACTGGCGTGCAATTTCACCCAATTAATTGCCTTCCAACAATCCTCATAACACGCTGGAAGAGCAAGTTCTGGTGCCAATCTATATTCAATAGACACCGCAATAGCCTTAGCATCAGCTACAAGAGTATTGACATAGTTATGGTGTATCGAAGAGACTGTACAGTCGAGAGTAAAATCGTCACCGTGAATATAGATAAGGAGCGAGAGCTTTTGATTGTGAGCAGTAGCACTTTTGAGGAGGAAAATCTGCGCTGAAACGACATTTTCCCGAGAGAGACAACGGGTGTAGAGGAGAGAGGAGAAGTTGGAGAGAGGATATAATTAATTAGAGATGATGGGTGGAAAGAGAGGAAGGGTAGAGAGAGTATACAATTAATTGAAGAGAGAATATAATTAATTGGAGAGAGAGGACGAGCGAGGAGAGAAATTGGAGAGAGAAATTGATTTATATAATTAATATTTAAATATAAAAAATATGATTTTAAAATGTTAAACTATTCATTTAATTTTTGAACCCTATATTTTAACTCTAGGGTTTTCTGTAATTACCACTAAGCATGGTTGTATATGCAAGGGAACTAGAAAATTTCGGGCCCAACCCATATCATAAAAAGACTCATTTGTTCTTTATTTGTTCTTCTTCCTCCTCTTTTAGATCCATTCTCAAGTTCATAGTCTAGGCCACCATCCTCCCAAAAAACGAAATTTATGTTGCATTTGCATTTTGATCTCTCCAACCACTGCAATCCATACAGGTATCTAGCAATTGCGGTAATGTTTGCCCATGTTCCTCTTTTCGATTTTCAAGAAAGTGGAAAAAGTGCACTATAAGAAGAGGGGATGGGTGCATAAGATTTAAGTGAGGAATTTTTGGGTGAACAATAAAATAGACTACTATGCCGTACACAAGTTTTGGTCCTTCAGAACACTAAAGATTTTTTGGTAATGTAAATAATACGTCTAGGAAATTTCTAACTTTAGAGATCCCATTATCACTCGAATCTTTCTTTAAGAATTTACGTAGTAGATGCTATTCACGTAAACAGTCACAAAGCAAGAATCTCAAAGAAATTTGGTTGAATAATTGAAATTGATTGGCCTGCGAAAGTACAAAAAGAGAGACAGAATGTATTTAATAGCCTGATACCTCATGGGATGCCATTGGAATTTGCTGTTAATCAAAATAATTCGCTCAAAACACTTCTCTCTTGCATAAATGGTGCGCTGAAAGGATGCATAGTATAACCAAAAATTGCCTGATCTACAACTCCAAGACCGGCAGCAGTAGCCAATTATGGCACCTGTGAAACAAGGGTAGCTAATTTCTACCATATCCCACAAAGTTACGCCTAGATTTTAGCAATGTATTCATATAAGATGTTCAAATGAAGATAGTACTGGCAGGCGATTCTCGATCTGAACTATATACAGCCAAAAGTTTCCACATATTGACAGGTAGCTACTATTTTTCTTCAGCCTGCCAAAAATTGAAAAATTCATTGAAAATTATAACAGAAACCAATACAACACTTGTGGAAGCATTTGATTAGAAAATTAACTAGAAAAAAAACTTATCCGTTCTGTTTTTGCCTAATTTTACTTTATGGAAAACCAAAATCAAGAAATCCAAATATAATTGTTCGCAAGCCATGTGGAAGAGTGCAGATATCTGGTGAAACAAGGAAAACAGAAGTAGATATAATGATAGTACCAAAACAAAATAAAACTACGAACAGTATCCACCGATAGTTACTGTAGGAATTTTGACTTTCACTACAATAGTCTGTTCGATGTATCGTGAAATATTTACATAATAGAGTGATTCATAATTATCACAGATTCTTACATTTTCATTGTACAAAACATTATAGCAGCACTCATAGGAAAGATTATGGCGTGTAGTTATAACTTTTACTATTTTAGTTGTTTGTAATCCTATAAATAGGGTCTCTTCCTTTCACTGTCTTTCAAAAAACATTCAAGAGGCAATAAGAGTTGACAACTTATCTTTTCTCCACACTATAGCCTCAAATATTTTTACTCTATTTAACTGGTATCAAAATTAAAGCATGTTCAGGACGTATTTATAAAAGGTTTAAAGAAAGGAGCTGAGAGAGGCCGAGACACACAACAGTTTCTGCAGATTTTAATTTTTTCTCATTCTATTTATATTTGAAAAATATAACCTAAATAAAGAAAAAGATTTTAGCCTATAGAACATAATTTCTTTGTCGCCTAATGGTAAAGTTTCTACCTTTTATCTCAGGAAACAAGGACATTCTTGTTTTGGTTGTTCGTAGCCTCAGAAATAGGGCATTTCACTTATTCCACTTTATAATTCAATATATAAGAGTTGTGCAAATTCTCTATTCTTCTTCATATTTCTGACTCAAATTTTTTACTCTCCAATTCAAAATTTAAACGGACTTTTTGTATATCAAAGAGTTATATCTTCAGTTATGATGGCAATTACCACCATAAATTTATAAAGCACCATCATTTGAGGTGTGAGCACATCTACAAGTGAGAAGGTTATCAATCAATTAAAAGGATACATATTTAAAGTTCTACTACAAGTCTTCTTCATATTTGGCAAGATAAATTGCAGGTCATAGTTGGTGAAAATACTCACATGAAGCTCGATTTACTTTCAGTTGATGCTTAATAAGACTTGAGATTAGCACGGAGTTTTCTTAACTGCTCTCTTTGTACCTAAACAAATGCAAAAAAGATGGGCTCAACAAACCATAGCTCAAGCAAATGTAAAGGGAAAATGTTTTACTAGATTTAGAATAAGTACATAGATTTCACCTCATAAAGCTTCTTCCACCAGAGATCAGATCTTGATTGAAGCAAGCACCAATCCATGGCCATTTCATATTCAATCGTGTTGGTCTGAGAATAGTGAGATGTGGACACAGCATCTTTCTGATCAATGAGAAAAGCATAAATATCATTCGATTGTTAAGAAGTCATGCTAAAATATTGTGCATCTATAAGTATTTTTATTACACTCGTGGTTAATGTAGATGAAGTCACCAAATTGTAACAAAGATTTAAGTTTCATGAACTTAAAACCGAAGTGATCAAAATAATCTTTCGCTAAAAGTTTAGTCACCGCCCATGTATTTAATCTTCAGGTAGAAGAATATATTGATCATGTCCAACAGTAAGAGACCCTGTCTAAATAAGGGACCACAAATGACCAACAAATTAATCGTACCATGTCCCTTTGTATTTGACGTCTAACATCATCAATAGCCAAATGACCCGTGAAAGAGGTCTGCCTTCCGGAAACTCTGGGAAGAACCCCATGGCAACCTACAAGTGGCCTGCAAATAATGCTCTTTCAGTGTAAATTTTCTAGATCACATAGCAAATTTAGGATAATGCATTTTCACATCTTTTCATTCTAGAAGAAAGTGGATCTATGTCCAGGCTATCAAATCCAACACCTTCACCCCATTCCTCTCCATCAATACAAGTAACAAACTTCGAGGTGAAAACAGGCATTTCAAATTAATTTCAGTCATTAACATGCTCCGACACCTAAGAAACAAAATAAATCCCAGGGTATAGCTTCTTTAAGCAACCCAGAAAGAAAACCCAGAATCTAGTCAACTAAATGATGTAATAATAAAAGATAGGCACCAACAAAATGTACACAAAAACTATGAATTCATGAGTCAAGTCAGAATAATTATCTCAACATATTTTTTAGTATTTACAATTTAATATTTAATTTCAGTTACTTCCAAAACAAGAGTCATGCAGTTAAATCTCACCATTTCTTTTAGCATTACGAGTACATGAATCTGCACATATACCTGCGATTCGGAAGCATTAAACAGCCATCATTCAGTTTTCTAATAACCCTCTCTGCAGCATCTTTTGTTTTAAATATGACAAAAGCTTGACCTGACAAGGGTAAATACGGGAGGTCAAAGGATTTCAACCAAAAAGAAAACCCAAGACCACTTAACATGGCTTGAATGTGATATAATTTAAGAATGAGAATAATTAAAAACATGAAATGCACCCAAATCACTGAATTTTAAGAAGCAATGATCTTGGTGTATATCTACATACCAGAATGTGGACTGGAAACAGCAGTGCGCTGTATCATTTTAGCTGTGCAATTTTCATCAAATGCATGCCAAATGATGTCCTGGAAAAATTCCACAGCATCGTCAAGGTAGAAAAATAAATGAGATCTCTTAAGACAGCAGAGAAACACAGAAAGGAGAAAAACGATAAATGAAAACCTATCATGATAAAAATTCAATTAGGCCACAACTACACAAAGTTTCACTTGAATGGATGTCAAATAATGTCTTAAAAAACCCTCGCATAATCATCAACTCAGAAAAGCATATAAAAACTCTGAAAGGAAGTTCTGGAACTAAGCCTAAAAGGGAGAAAAGAAACAAAAACAAAAGTGGAAAATTTGTGATTTTGGGACAGAACAATAGGCGAAAATGGTACAGTTTTATGTGATTATGCATAAACCATCCCTGGAGATGGAAGATTCCTCTGGCTCCTAAACCCAACACCACCACACACCTTCTCTTTTGCCCATCCAAGCATGAGGAACGTGGATGCTAATTGCTTAATTCAGTTAGTCTACACACATCATCGCTCCAAACTCACAGTCGCATTAGTGTTCTAGTAGTTATATAAATTGAGAAAATCTCATTAAATTAAATTTAACATTAAAAAAAGTTCTAGCCAAATCTCCAACTAAAAATAAAATAGAATGTAGAACATGTTTGTGTGAAAATGACTCCATAATTCGCATTCATTTCAGATGAAACAATATCAAACGTACAAGAAAGCAAAAAATTGAGATAAATAAAACAATTATATCTAGTGGAATGAAATTACCTCCACCTCGCCTGATGTATATTCTGGATCTAAATTCCGGAGCAGCACCAGTGTACCTTGATCGTGTGAGTCCTGCACTCTTTCCTCCCAAGGCTGGAGAAAAATTTAGAATAAATTGTATAAATCTCCAACAACCAACACAATGGTGAATCTAGAGTTGATCTATGATAACTTATAAAGGTATGAATATTAAATTACAATCAATTACAAATTCATTAAAATAATGATGTGATACATATCTAGTTTGAAAATTCAAAAGATAATAATCTTCAAGTGGACTAAATTAACTTCAAAAAGTTAGGCTGCACACAATTTCTTCCTCAAATTGAAAATGAGAACTTCCAAGAGGGATTTGTTAAAATCCAATTAGTTAAGACCTGAGCTCATTTATGCATACTTATATATAATTAGACTGCATATCAAACTACAAAGGGATACAAACTTGATAATAATACTCAATCATATTCTACTCGATCCAACACCTTAAAATAAAAACCATATACAGAACAAGAAAGCCAACCAATTCTGAAATGGAAGATAAAGGAATTGAATATTAACCACCAGTGATTGCTTCCCAAACTTCAAACTTGATTAGATTAGTAAGAAAACATATTTTCAACAAATTTCCACGTGTTTAAAAAATTAATATTTCTTAAACATATCTTCATATGAAAGCAGAATCAAAATTTTATATACAATAAATGGGAAGTGTGAACTTACAAGTTCCCTAAACCATGTGCTCTTGCCCTGCAAATAAGTGAAAACAAAGAGCATTAAAAGCAAGATCCATCAAATTTCTGAAATGAATACACAAGGCGCTTAAATTAACTATACTACAATAACATGCTAATGCTAAATAAAGTGTCTACAAGCAATCACTTTACAAGGATCATATATGAAGGTTTAATCATGTACCAGCTAGCAAATAACAAGGTGTAACTCTCTAAGATTGACATATATTTCTTTTTTCCATCAATGTATTAATGCATAAAAGAGAGAGTAAGAAAAGGTATTAGTGTTTAGACTCTACACTTAATTAAATAAAAACGCGCTTAAAAAGTGAAAGGAATAAACTAACTAAGCCTTATTCTTAATAAATTTGGGCTTAGGTGTATGAATCATTTTTTACCATCCCTTTTGGTTCATTGCTTGAAAGGCATAAGAATGAGTAAAATGAAAAAGCAACCTACATATATCTGTAACTCAAAATTCAATAAAACAGTGTACTAGCTTGATAGGATAACATTGAGTTACTACACTATTTCATTATCCAATGAAACCAGTGATATTCCATTCAATTAAACCTTCCAGACACTGAACTTCAATAATCATATCTCTTCGATTTACAATATCCAAGGCCATATTCAGTATTGACCAAAAATACTCATTAGTTCCCCCAAGTCCCTCACCTTTTTAATGAAAAAGCCTTAAATTCCTTTGGTAGAAACTTAATAAAGATTGGGCATAAGCTCCAAAATTAGTTCCCCAATAATGCAAGAAAAACCTTTTGGACATATCTTCAAAAAGTATTGTGGACTTCAATGCTATAGTATTCTGTACTGGTACCTCTTCCAGGCAAGCTGTCATATACTTATCCCCCAGTCAAGTGCTCCAGAAAGGTTGGTGTTGTTTATTACATGAGCCATTAGACACAGCTATATGAAAGCTTCATTTGTTTTACTCTAATACCTGTCTGGTCAACTCCAAATTGTCAAAGCAACCATCTTTCATCTCCACCTCAATCATGCTCATAAATGTCAAACAGGCCAACTTCACATTGCCAAGTAACCATCTTTTATCTCCACCTCACTATTCATTCAAAGATGTCAAACTTTCACCCACCAAATCATATTAGTAGTATGCATACTGTAATGACCCGAGCCTCATGCCCTGACATTCTTTTACATACTATTTGCTTTGAGAAAGCCTAAACCCATCTTACTCCACTCAAATTTTTATTGCATCCTCAGGATTCCATAAAGCAAATGTCGGGTTCGAATCCTGGGGATGCGAGAGGTAAGATGAGCTCATGCTCTTCCAAAGCGAATGGTACATAAGAGAACGACCGGGCATGAAACTCTAATCATAGCAAAAAATCATTCTCTTACGTGCCGTATGCTTTGGCAGAGCATGAGCTCATCCTACCCCTCACGGAGTTTTGTAACATCCCTACTATTCGAACCCAGGATGCCCAATTGATACCAAGCGTGAACTTAAGTCTCTCACATGCAGAGGTCTTGAATTCGAATTTTGAGGGACTTAACAGAAAGTCGTGAAGGATTATGAGGGCAGGAAATCTCCCAAAGCGGACAAAAGTTTGGGCACAAGGTTCGAATCGTTACACATACACCCTTCAAAACTTTTTTTTTTAAAGGTCACCCTTCAAGACTTTAAAAATTCTATTACAAAATAATTGTAGAACCGCCAATTTTTCCCATCATCAACCTCGAAATGTCATGCCAGACTTTGCAAATGGAGCGACAGACACCTATCTCATAGGCCATCACCATCATTTTTTAGACTAATAGAAATTTTGATTGCATATAAGGTTCGTGTGACATAGGCAATCATCTAAAGGTGATTATGTTGTTACCACAGTTTTCTTTTGCTCCACCACTTTTTAATTGCACCAAAGGGTCCCAACCTTTGTTCATTATCATACTTATATCCCATTTTTTAGTATTATTAACCTTTCATTGATTAGCCCATCTTGTCCAATGTCCATGATCTAGAAAGTCGCGTGCTTGCCCTCTATTTCAAAACATGTAAATAGAGTCCTTCAATAAAACAATTATTACGAACTAGATATGCTAATTAACAGAAGATTGAGGATAAAAATGTGAAAAATGTAGGGACATAAGTATAACAATAAGCAAAAATTGAGGACCTTCAGTGCGTATAACATGTGTGCAAGAAAAGAAAATAATGATGGTTATATAACCACCCAACATTTAATTTTTTAACAATGAGCAAGTTGTACTTGAGCACAACTATAATCAATTCTCTTAAACTCTGTATCAATACACAAGCTAGGCTTACATTATTATTTCTACATTATGGTATATCCGAACACCCAATTTATCAAGAGAATCCACGATGCAACTATTACTTCTAAGCCTCCACCACTGCTCTCGTCAACAAGCTCTCACCACTTATAAACTTATTATGTACTCCCCATTCTACATTACCACACATAATATATATATATAACTCACAAGCATTAAGAATTTCCATAGGCATTGAATGATATAAATTGTCTAATCTAGAATATCAAGTCTTAATTGGAGCTTGTTTTGATGCTTCATTATATATATCATTACTCAATACAAAAATCAACTATAGTAAAAGTACGTCATAGTTACAACTAAAATGCAAAGTGGGTAGGGTGGACATTGGACAATGATCGTGTTGGGTTAGGCATCCATCCTCATTTTTAAAAAATTGTGATTTCCTCTTTTTTGGTTGTTGGGTTGAGTAATTGTGCCAACAAATAAAAAATTTCTTTTGGGCATACTTAGAAACTTAATAGAAAAAGGACTCCCTCATTCAAACACAACATGGCCATGTAGGATTGTTCAAATTATAACCTTCAACCAAAATTCCAAAGCCGAGTCTTACATGAGCCACCAAATACGGGTTGTGCAAGCTTGACACCAGCTCACTTTACACCATATGTACAATTAAGTGTAATTTGATTTAGTCCACGAAGATTATATCCACCCAATTTCTTGATATCTCAATCAAGTTTATAATGCATGCACATATACTAGGCATATCTTATCATCTTAATTCATTGATATGTGGAACATTAACAAGCACACTCCTTCATTTCATCGGGGAAAAACAAAATGTGGATATCTTATATTGATTCCACTTAATTGTATCTACGACGCCATTTTTATTTGGGAAAAATGTTTTGCCACTATGGACTTGAGCCTTCAAACTTTGCCTCCATGCTTTATAATTACACCTTTGATATTTTAAAATTAATTTGATATCTTAATTAAAACGATCATACCATTGACCAAAAGTTCTTATTGGGTCTATCAAACCTATGTATTAAGGTGCAAATGCTTTACCATCATATTTAGGAGTTATAAGCCACAATGTTAAATATGATTTCCAAAAGTAAATGATCTTGTTCATTGCTCAACTTACGACAACAGGTCTTCGAGTGACTTCAAATGTTTGGCCCTCAACTTTCCCTCCATTCTTACTTGTAGATGCCACCGCACACGACTTAGACAAGTTGCCACTCGAAAATTTGGTAGCCTCCTTAGTATGGCACTTATCCATCCCAATAGACTCTTTAGCTAGTCTTGATTTGGTTTTATCTTCGGTGGAAGCAACAGCTGTTGGCAACTTTTTAGCATCACTCCCAACATATTTTTCAGACTTTTGAATAGTATTGTTCTCATCTTCTGATGACATAAAAGAATTATCAACCTTCGCTTTCTTTGAAGGCCCTTCATCTAAAGCACGTGGATTTGCAGCGGATTTTGCATCCTTTCTATGCCCAGCAGAATCCTTCTCATGCCCGATATCATGTACACAAGGTCTTTCTTTCGAGAAGTCACTAGCCTTCGGTGCCTTTCTTTCCAAATCACATGGATCTCCATCTAATTTTGCAGCCCGTCCAGGTCCAACAGAATTCCTAACATGTCCAGATTTAGGTTTCAGCTCAGGCAAAACAACATTGGTATTTAACGGCCTTTCTCTCGAAGCACTTGAATTATATATTAGTTCTGAATCCTTTCCAGTCCCAAAAGAATGCTGATGGTCTCCAGACTTCATTTCTTCTTTTGAGGGAAACACGTTAGCTTTTGAGAGCCTTTCATCCAAAGCACTCAAGCTTTCAGCTGGTTTTGCATTCTCTCCAGGCCCAACAGTATTCTTATCATGTCCAGATTTTGATTTTGCATCAGATGAGATGACACTAGTCACCGCGGATTTTATGCCATTTCCAGGAAAAGTCGAAATTTGGTCACCACTCTTGTCCTCATGCTTTGGTGACTTACTTGAATCATCAAGCTTTGAGCTCTTAAAAGATGAATTGTCCAAAGAACTAGATTTCCTTGCAGATTTTTCTCTCTCTTTGTTCATCAAATCATAATTTCCATCTGACTCTCGAGTTTTTAACTGGTCAACTGAGTTTGGGTCAGCAAGTTTATTTCCATCTGTCACTCGAGTTTTTAACACCTCAGGTGTGTGTGGATCACCAAGCTTCATTATTTCTCTGCACACCATAGCATTCCTACCGTCTTCTGTATTCTTAGAACCGAGTTTGGGAATATCAAGAGAATTGTAATTCTCTTTTCTGTTAAATACAAATTCAACTGTAACAACAAAAACCAACTACATAAGGATCAAGACAATCTGAATTTTAACAGCAACACTCGGAAACAACGTTTCTCAGCTTGTAACGTTGGCAAAAGAGAACTCTCATAAAATACAGGAGATAAAGTAACATACCATCAAGTCCGCCCACTTTATCATCCATCTTATCCAATATCAGACAGTTTTTGACATCAAAAAGGCGGTAAAATACGTAGTCAGCCATCTGAATTTCTTCAACTGAGGGTTGTGGATTTCTGCTGTCACTTGAGATGCAGACGACATCGCATTTGCCAGCAACCGCTTCCTAATTCCATAAAACGAGAGACGGCAACCTCATGAGTCAATTTACTAGAAGTACATATGCGATAATATCACCAAAGGGGAGAAGTTGTGTCCCTCCAAGGCCTTTTGATGCATAACAGGAGAGAGATGACAGAGAAATATGGAAGCAGAAAGAACTGACAAAAGAGTAATGCTATGTAGCCCTACTGGTGTTGCATCCCCAGCGTAGGTGGCGTTAGATTATAGGCTAAATGAAAGGCGAAATTAAATAAGTTATTTAATTCCACTTATTATTTAATGTCACTTAGACTGAAAAAGCAACTCCAGTGGGGCCAAATAGCATTACTCTGGACAAAAAGAAGGGAAAGGAATTTAAATAGAGAAATTGTACAAACAAAAAATTATATATTAGTACTTATCAATGAAGTGTATATGTTATTGAAATAGTGGTCATATTGATCTTTGGAATTCCCAAAAAAAATAAGATGGTTCAACATGATAGCACAGCATGCAACTATTCCTGAGTTGAAGTCTTGCTGCTACCCACTTCATGAAAATTTTGCACTCCATCCAAAAATAACTCCAGTCCCCATGTGAGGAGGCATGTCTGAGCCTTCTCTAACAACTTAACTTTTAGAAGATATAGTTCAACCCTACGATATGATATAAATTTAAATAAAAGAACATCAATTTAAAAATCAAAAGCATTTCTCGTATTCATGGTCTTGATGAAGTAATGACGGGTGAGTTAGTAGAATTTGAAGAAGATACAATAGGTATTGCTTTGAATTTGGAATCAAATAATGTTGTTGTTGCATTAATGGTGATGGTTGATACAAGAACGAAGCTTTGTAAAAGCAACACAAAGAAAAAATATTGTCGCACTCTCCACCACGTGCCTAGGTTGAAAAAACTTCAACCCTGAGAGACCCAGAGAGAAACGGACATTATTGATCACACAAATTCAGATCAAGATGACCTACTCATCACAAAGTAATCAATGGTGACCTCCAAACGAAGTAACACGATTGACCTACAAAAACTCATGAATACAACTGGAGGTTCAACTGTGCTTCAATAGGAAATAAAACCATCTCATAAAAATATTACTTGTATTTAAGTGTAATGCAAAGACTAAGTTAAAAAGCAATAAGAAATCATCGAAGTACGGGAAAAAGGCCAACCAAATGGACATGAAATTTGTTGATGTTAGCTTTGGGGAATTACAGGTAGAAATCAAATAATTACGCTATGGGAAAATTGCAGCAGCAGTCCCTAACCTTTTCGTTTTTTGCAAATAACCTTTATTTTATACCAGCGAAGGTCTCTAACATTTCATAAATATGCACTTAGGTCCATCTATACGAAAACCATCCAAAACACCTTCAGGAAAATTCCTTGAACTATCTGCTACCGGAACGATTTTATTGGATGTTGATACCTTTTTAAACGACGTTTTTGAATGGTGTTTTGGATAGTTTTATTGGATGTTGATTTCTTAATTTTCCCGATCAACAAACGGTGTTTTAGACGGTTTCCATCCATATTGATCTCAGGTGCATATTTATGAAAGGTTAGAAACCTTCGCTGACACAAAATAAAGGTTCGGATAAAGTCTGCAAAAAATGAAAAGATTAGGGACTGTTGCTGCAATTTTCCCTTACGCTATTATCATACTTTTTGGATTCTCCATGCCTAAAATATCCACCAACAACAAACTCATAATTCTCTAAAAAACAGTATGCTCCTATTCAATTTGGCTAAGAATCAATTTTTTTGTAATTATGATAAAACTGCAAAAAGTATAGCTAAAAATTTGATAAAAGTTGTGGACCTTATAAATTGTATGGTTGAAAATGAATTTGAGAAAGAGTGAATTTTAAAAAAAAAAAAAATGGAGCCAAACAGGGGCCATATTTTCTTATCTCGGAATGACTCATGAATACAAAACGCAAAAGTTTAGACTAAAGTAATATGGTTGTAATTACAATCATGCTACATAAACATAATTATTGACATAATGCCACATGGTAACCTATCATTGGATTGTTTAAAACGCAATCACCTTTTTCAACCAATCACATCTTGCCAACCCCTATAATGTCAACCATTATGTAACCTACTTTCTGGAAAAGTAACATTATTATTGTAATTAACTAAGGTAAATAAGAAGTCATTCTAGCAAATGATTTCCAAGGAGGAAAAAAATTAACCAAATGGTAGGCATTTACATTAGTAATTTTGGAGCATAGAATAAATGAACCATTATTAGAAAATCTATTCTCAACCATTAAGGGGCTACATGATGTTGCTAGGAGTTAATAAAAGCTAGTAAGTCCCATGAAATGTGTGGTAAAAAAGTGGATAAAAGTTGTGGATCCAATGAAATGTGTAGTTAAAATAAAGTTTGACCATCTTTTTAGCAAACAAAAGCTCTACCAAAAAAGCACTAAACGAAGTGTCGAACACGTTTCAAACATGCCGTAAAAAAGCCACAATAGCATCTCCAACACATCAAAATGTTTAAACATGACCAAAAAGAAGAAGAAAAATAAGAACTTAGTAAAGTCAAACTCCTTTTTGCAAGCCAATGGTGTCGATCCGGTGTTTAATTGTTGCCAATTTGCGATGGAGACTCACCAAAGTAGAAATTGCCACTATGTCTTCATCTTCCCTTGCAATTATAATGAATCTTCAAACCCTTAATATTGTACACTAGAGGGTATGATTCTCAATTTTACGAGACCCACTACCCTTAAAATTAGAATAAACAATTACAAATGTGTTTCCCAATGAAATTGGAACTGGGTAGTATTTGTTTAAAAACATGCGAACAAATTTAAAAACTCATGTCATATATACACCCTATGCTCCTCGAACTACTCACTTTGTATGATGTAGCCGACACGACATAAGATGAGTATAGGTATGGATCCTATGTTGGAACCTTTCAAATTAGAAGTGAACATGGAAATCGCCATGGAAAGAAGCAGAAGTTACAGGAGGAAAATGAGTGACTACAATTTTTAAAGCAATAAAAATGATTTTAAGGCATAAAACCAAGATTTGTAAGGCATGAAACTAAGTCCATTTAATGCTACACTCCCAAAAAATGTTAAATTATTAGCATGTAATAGTAAAAAAAAAAATATATATATATATATATGTTTGTAAGACTTAACCCTAGACCAATATCAAATTTTTGGATCCTTTTTAGTCCTGTCCATGTATCCTAAATTTTAGAAGAAATATATTCAACTCTTGAATATGTACCCATATTTGACACTAATAAGTCCTAGTATCATGTTTAACATCATTAATAAAAAAATATATATGAAACTAAAATTAAAAACTAAAACAAATTTAAAAATAAAGATATAATATTATTATTTAACGTGTTTTGTCCTACTTTTTTTGAAAACTAATGTGTCACCAAAGAGGACTCGTGTTGTGTCCGACATGTCCACATTGAAGTATCGTAGTGAATGTAACTTCCTCTAAAGCTCAAGTCAATGTAAACTAAACTTGCACTCAAAATCATCTTTTAAACGAATTATAAATCCAAAGACAAGGACATGAGAAACTCGGTAACATGACATAATAGAGCATAAGCATCTTGAACAGTGCCAAACACACATTAGACGTAATTTGCTTATGGTCTAATAGTTGATTTAACATACTAATTTGGATCATGTGTCCATGTGTATGTTTTTAATTATAAACTTCATGCGATCAATAGAGTGATATGGTCCTGGCTTAGATGCTTAATATCGCACAATTGATTGCCAACAATACTTAACAAACCTTGCGATCTTCATATTGGCAAAACATAAATGTCACAAGTCCTATTGAAATCCTTCAATAAGCTTAAGAAACACTTTAAGATGAAGTCTTCCGTAAAAACTTGAGCTCCCTTTAATTCGATTATTGGTGATATCATTTACCTGATGTAATCATTACTAACTTAATAGTAAGGTTACAATATAGGCCAAAATTCCTTGTCCATGCTTCTTCATAGTTTAATGGAATGATATAATTATTCGAAAAACCTAACATCTGGCTTCTCAAGCTCTCTCTTCATCTTGCAACACATCTACGGCATCAAAATCATTCTCTTCCCCCTTCCTTTCGTTAGTTGATATTCCTTCACATAAAGATTTTACATCATCAACTCTTTCTTTAGCTTCTTCTTTGGACCCTTTTCTTTCCCTCAATCTCTTAATCATGTTTTTCACATGAAAAAGATTTAATTTTAAGAACTTAAAGATCCAACTTGGAAGTTATTTCAAAAACTAAAATTCAAAAATACATTCTCATAAATAAGAGCTTTCACATTTCTCTACCTCATTTGTCAATGACATCTCTATTTTAATTATTTTTTAAAAGAAATACTGAAAACATCAATCCATGTTTTCTACTTCCAATGAATTTCCAAATTTTGTTTCTAAATACATTTTGATAAACTCGATTTCCAAACTCAAATGGAAACGATCTTAACAAGTCCTTGGTATTCTTACCACTGCAACCCCAAGTAGTAAAAGTTCACTTATAATCTTCATTAATCCCACTCTCATCCCCCAAATTAGCTACAAATAACCATTGATTCAATATATTCAAACTATCATCCAATCAACATTTATCTAACACCCCTTACTAAAAGTTGCCAATCTTTATCCGTAGAAGATAGGCACTAAAGAAACTAGCACTTACTCGTAATCAAACCTTCATCATTCATATTTTCGTAGTCGCTTTTATATAACTACATCCCGTCATAACATTAGAGTCCACACATAAACCAATAATAGCTTGTTGAATTCGTAAGCATTATGATGTATAATATTAATTGCATAATATTGCATTTATTCCGTTACCACTATAGATGACAACATTCAAATCTCCCTACAATGTTTTGCTTTCTCCTACAGCGTGGAAAATAGACCATAAACAAAAACTGAAGATCTATTGACTGGAAACCAATGACTTGGAGAATCATCCAAAAGGATGAAGGGTGGAGTCCTTGGTAAGCATCACCAATGGAACTAATGATAATAACGATAAAAACAAAAGCCACCTGCAAAAATATATTAACATACATACTGCCACTGATGCTATAAGATTTAATTCGTTGTTCAGCAACATCATGGTTTAGGATGGTTCGTTGTGCAGCAACATCATGGTTTACGAAGTTGCCAGCAGGCAAAATTTCTACTTGGGACAAAAACTATGCATTAGAGAGAGGCTAAATCAAGGAAGGCATAGCCCTTGAGGCACTTCAAAGCAAAAGCTTCAATATGAAATAAATTGAACAAGATACAAAACTACAACATCATAGTCCAATAAACCATAAATCTTATAGACAACTCTACAATATAAGATTAAAAAAAATATATCTAATTTTGAACTAATAACATAAAATCAATCAATGTAAGTAGCAATAAAAAATTATGAAGTAATAATTCAATAAGAACTATTGATCTCTAACTAGCTCTAAAAAACGAATAGAAATGAAACAACAAACTAATTGAAATTTTTTGTTTGCTTTGACATCAATAGAAAAACCACACATAGAGACCACACGAAGAAAAATATAGAAAAAGAAATTAAGTTATGTGTCACAGGTCTCCTACCTCAATGGCTTGTACCACAATGTAACCAAGAGGATACTTGTATACTAAGGTTAGTCTTCACTTCCCCAAATCTCAAAAAAATCCAGACTTTGTTACTAGAATTGTGTAGTAAGAGCAAGACCTTCATCAAAGACAGTCACTTAGCCCTTGCTTAATTTTTTCTATTTTTAGCAGTGATTTTGTGAAAAAGTGATTTTCAGGAAAATACATGGTTAAAAAGAAAGGAAATTTTATGGGTACACATTTAAAATTATTTTACTCGAAAAATGTGGTAAAACATAATTTTTGTCAACACATTTCTTAAGATCCACGACTTATTATCCGCACATTCCATAGACCTACTCCTTATAAGCACCTTAAAAAACTACCAAAAAAATTAAGCTATATACAACAATACAAGTTTGACCAAAAATTGTCATCAACTCCTTGCACCATATGCTTCATATTGACTTTTCTGTAGCATAAATATTAGAAATTCACTCTCAGAGGCATAACATGGTCATCCAGAATAGCCTTTTTATAAGATATTCCTCCGGCTGTATCAAGTTTACAAAATGTTGTTCTACCATTCATCTTATCCTAGCCTTAAACTCTCCAGTAAAACAAAACAACTACTTTACTCTAACTCCTCTGCTAGCCCACTTGCAAAAGATCTTTTCAAGGACTCCATCCTCTCCAAACATTCCATTAGAATAAATGCGCCACAAGACTATGATATCATTATAATTTTACCCATAGTTGTAAATGAAAACATTGATAGAAAAAGTGCATAGTTTGTTGATACCAGGTCAAAGTGAAAGAACACAATTACCAGAGGATTGATATTCGCAAGGCCAGTGCCTTCACCCGTGGCAAAAAATAATTCATTCTCAGCTACCTCCATATCTCTTAGATAATATGAAATTTCCGAGGGACGGAAAAACCAATGAATTTTTACTTTCTTGGACTCGCTAGCATCTTCCCATATCTTTACGAGCTTGCCAATGTATGGTACAGGTTCATCTTGAACGTACATGTATACACAATCATGTAAAGTATAATCCACCTCGTCATAAGTAAATGATTCATAGAATTGGACATTTTTCAATTTTCCACCACGGCCTCTTTTCTTTCCCCAGTTGAATTGCGGTTCCTCCAGGCTCTCCAGTTCAGCAGAAGGTGGCATGTCTTTTCTCTAATTATTAGTTTGTTCTATGTGTGTAGACCTAAAAAATAATAAAAGAAACACTGAATATTCTATGCACAAGGGGGTAACAAATAATAATAATAAACACAAATCTTCATTGCTAGTAATTTATATCAGAATTCAATTGTGTAAATTTCTGAGAGGGGCGGAGCCACCTGGGTCGAGTGTGGGATTGGTCCTGGGTAGTCAGGGGCAGCGAGTTTTCAGAAAATGGAAAAAAATAAACAACCGCATCAAGAATTCAAGAGAAATATTGTTGAAAAAATCACTGTTGCTAAAGAAAGATTACCATCAAGAAACAACAATTCTGGGAAAAGGAGTTGAGTTCAAATTAAATCATTCACTACAAATAATCTAGTCGATTTCAACATATAAAGCCCGTTTTATCACTAATAAAATCCGATACTACCTTCCAAGTTTGGTGATGAAGAAGAGTAGAAATCACAGCAACATAAGATAAATTGGTGCCGAGGGGGTGATGAATATGTACGCAATTTTGAGTGTAATGCCGAGAGAGAAAACCTAGGTCGCTCTTCCCCTTCGCTAAATAGAGGTTAGTTTATCCTTTTACAGGCCTGCCCTTTAACTGGGGGTTCAGAGACTATTTTTAAATTTAAAGAGCAGGAGTGATTGCCTCGTTTTGAGCCCCCATTGGACCATATATTCTCTCTATTTTAAAAAGTTGAAATCAAAGGATTTTATAAATTAATATTTTAATTTAGAGAATAGATATGACTCTTCAAATTTGAAAAGCCAATATAAAATAAATTGGTGTCAATTAGTTAAAATAAAAAATGGTTAAAAATAATAAATATTTTTCTAGAAGTACTAAATTAAGTGTAAAATTTAAAAAGTTTGTTGGAGTATTTTAAAAATTTAACTCTTTTAATTTATAGATACTTTCCAAATGATAGAATATACTCTTTAAAAAATTGAGTCTCTTGAAAATACTCTTATATTAGAAAAATACATTTTGAAATAGTAAATTGATGAAAAATATGTTGTTAAAAAATAATAAAAATTTTGAATTTGTGGGTGATAATATTTTATTAAAAAATGTCTGATTGAAAAGTAGATAGAAAAATATGTTTTGAAAAAAAAATTGGAATCAAACAAGGCCTTAGAGTACAAAATTTTAAGTACTCCAAGAGATTCTTTATTTTTAACACGTACTCCCTGTTATTTAAAAACTTTTTCTATATACTCATTGTTAACTATGCCTTTGTTTGTTTTCCATTATTTTCCCATTAAAATGAAAAATATGATCGTTATCCATTACATCAAGTCATCAAATTTGAATTTCTATCTCTTGTGTGGGGCCATAACGACTATATTTTTTATTTTCATTCTTACAAAAATGGGAAACAAACAGGACAATAAAATATTTTACACATAAATTCAAGATTTTCACTACTTTCTAACAACACGTTCTCCTAAAAATCACTATTCAAAATATTATTTTTCCCAAATAATGACCATCAAATAAGGCTTCATTTTATTAATCTTTAAAAACTTTATTGTTTTTCTTTATCTTTTATTTTTACTAACTTCCCTCAAAATTATTATATTATTTTTTCATGAAAATTAAAATACTTTAAAAGATAAAATTATAGAGGGTGTATTCACAGGGACGAAGCTAGATGTTTGATATTGTAGGATCAAAAATTAAAATACAATTTTTTTAAGCGGCATATTATTAATGAAGCTAAGTCAATACACTACTACAATTGTATTATTCAACTAAATTATACAAGTGGAGGTTAAAACGCATTGTCCAATCTTATAACACATCAAAATTTCATATCTTCGACTTCCAAACGACATTTATAAGCAATTATTGCCAACAAAATTGTTGTTTTTGACTTATGTCATTTTCAAACTAAAAATATTTGAATATTTTATCCAATTTAATTTAGGGTAATTAGCACAAAAAGTCTCTATCTTTCAATATTATTGTGCAAAATATCAATACCTTTAATTTTTTTTGTATTTTCGCCATTATTTCAACGTTTCATTCCAAAAAACGTTATTTTCACCATTTTTAATATAAAATGACAAAAATACCCTCCCATTTAAATAAAAGAAAAATAAAGAATAAATTACAATCTTACACTTAAATGTTTTAAAAAGTGGAAGTGAGTCCAAATAATTATTAAAAAACCTAATAACACAAAACGTCCCTACGTTTGACCTAGAGTGTGAAAAACGTCTTTACGTTTCAAATTGGTGAAAATAACGTTTTTCGCAATGAAACGTAGAAATAAGGATGAAAACGCAAAAAAAATTGAAACATATGGATGTTTTCTACAAGAAATGTCAAACGTAGGGATTTTTTTTGTTATTAGGCTTTATTAAAATATTAAAAATAACAAAAAAAAAACTCTCTCTTTTCACTTTTTCTCCAAATGGGACTGTCACGTTAGAAGTGAAAAAATTCCGACCAACCATCGTCCAAACCGTTGAACCTTTATACCACTGAACCATCCATTGATATTTAAGATCATAAAGAGAGGCACCCTAGTGAGTATAATCGATTGGTGTGTTGGAAAAAACATGGGTCTCTTCGGAATCAGGAAGGCCGCCAGTATTTGCATTCGTGAGTTAGGTATTTTGGCTTGCAATCCAGACAAATCTGTTGGCATGAAGGTTTTAAGGTTGGACGTTGGGTGGCATGTGTACAGGGAAGTGAGGGCTTTTCGGTGATAGAGAGGTCCAACAGTTTTGGTGGTGATTTGCTGGAGTTTTTTTATTTCTAAAGTGACTGACGCATTTGGAGAAAAAGAGGAAAGAGATAGGGGGAGAGTTTTTTGTTATTTTTTATATTCTAATAAAGCCTAATAGCAAAAATATCCATATGTTTGACAGTTCTTGCGAAAAAGTCTCTACATTTCATTTTTTTTGTATTTTCTTCCCTATTTTCACGTTTTATTACAGAAAATGTCATTTTCATCAATTTGAAACATACAAATATAGGGATATTTTGTCCTATTAGGCATTTTAATAATTATTTGAACTCACTTGCACTTTTTATAACATTTAGGAGTAAGATTGTAATTTATTCTTTATTTTTCTTTATTTTTTTTTTTGGTTTATTTTAAATGGGATGGTATTTTGATCATTTTACATTAAAATTTGTGAAAATGACGTTTTCTATAATGAAACGTTGAAATAAGGGCGAAAATGTCAAAAATGAAATGTATGAACGTTTTGCACAATAATATTGAAATGTATGGACCCTTTAATTTAAATATGAAGATAAAATGAGCTAAAAATTAAACTCTATAGCAGAGGAAAACAATAAAAAATCTAGATTTTTTGAGAACATGAGGTCATAATTTTGAATAACTGTGAACATTATGTTGAATCATTGATCCATGTTAAGCACCCAAACTTTAGTTTCAGATGAGATAACAAGCAATGGGTATGTGAACGACAATATTGTTGACAAATGGTCGACTTAATCCTCAATGTTTTGATCATAACAAAAAAGATTATTTTTATTTCTAACAAATTCATTTTAGTAATGATAGTTCAATGTTCAAATTAATCATGTATTATCGGACTTCAAATGAAGATCAAAATAGAAACCATGTATTCAAATCAAATCATTCGAAACAAAAAGCTTAAGAGATAAATGCCAAAAAAAATCAAGATCAAGAGTGTGAGAGACGACATCAATGAAAGATCAAAACGAGACATACTTTGGAGCAAAGACTTGATTTCTTAGGAAAAATTTAAAGGTACTAATACTTTGATATTTGGCAAAGAGTAGTTAAGCTCAAAATCTTGCTATGCATTAAAAATAATTTTTGTGCACTAAGATAATTCGAATGCAACCTTTTTGATCAAACGTGAAAATGACTTTTAAAAATGATATATAGATTTTAAAGATATTTTTATTTTGAAAATTTAGTTAAAAATATTTTTCAAAAGTCCATACACTTCAAAACTTTCAAATCGGAACAAACGAGGCCAAAACGTGAAAAAATTGCACTGTCGGGGCGGTCAACCGCCCAGAGAGGCGGTCGACTGGACCGGTCGACCGGCCATGAGAGGCAGCACACCAGACTCGTCCAACGGTCCGAGTTTGACCGTTCTGACTTCTGATTTTTACTGTACAAACGACTATATTAGTCTTCCGGACAAGAGGCGGTCGACAGGACGAGTCATCCGCAAATTCAGATTTTTTTAACGTTTTGGACTCTATAAATACCCCAACCTCTTGCATTAATAATTATCATTTCCAAGAGCATTAAATTGAGATACTTCAAGTTTTAACTCTCTATTCCTTATTTATCTTTATCAATTCATTCACTTTGGAAAAACTTTTGATTGAGTTTACTTTTGAAAGTCATTGATCAAAGTTTTTCAAAACTAATACTTGAGCTTTACTTATTGTCATTCATTAAAGTGTTAGCCTACTTTTCTCCATTATACTCAACTTTGAATATATCTTTATTGTGGGAGGAGATTCTTTTTTTGTAAAACTTACTTTTGATTGAATTGTGGGTCGTGTTGAAATCCCGAAAAGTTCAACGATTGTAAAAGGATCGGTGTTCCTTGCTTGTAAGTCACCGGAAGCATTATAAGAGTTGGATTGCACCATAAGTCAATCAATACAGCGAAAAAGGCATTGCTCGTGACGGAGAGCTTGGTAACGGGGGACGTAGATCGTGATTGAATCGAACCTCCTTATTACATCGTTTGCATTCTTTTTTCCCTTCCTCTTATTACTTTTGTGTTATCTTGTTTATTCATAGTTATTTGCTTTAATTTACGTTTATTTTCGAAATAGTTTCAAATAACCAATTCACCCACCTATTGGTTAGTTATTCTTGGGCCTTCAATTGGTATCAGAGATTGATACTCTTTTTTTTTTTATTCTACAATTTTGAGTAATGACTAACCAAGTTTTTCAAAATAGTGAGGGCACTCTACAAACCGGCCTCCTTTCTTTGATGGTACACATTATAACTATTGGAAGGCTAGGATGATGATATATGTTCAATCTATTGATTACAATATTTGGGAAGTTATAGAATATGGTCCATATGCTCCCACTAAGACTATTAAAGTAGACGGTAGACCGAACCAAATTCTCCCAAATCTAGAGAAGAATACGATGATGAAGATAAGAGAAAACTATCATTAAATGCCAAGGCTAAAAATCTACTTTATTGTACACTTGATAGAAATGAATTTAATCGAATTAGTACATGTGATTCGGCATATGATATTTGACATACTCTTGAAATTACTCATGTTGGCACAAGTAAAGTTAAAGAAACAAAGATAAATATGCTAGTTAAAGAATTTGAAAATTTCTTTATGAAATAAAATGAGCCTATTGTTGACATGATTACTCGCTTTACCGATATTGTAAATGGTCTTAAAGGTTTTGATCGTAAATTTACTAACGGTGAACTTGTGAGTAAAATGTTTAGGTCCTTATCAGAGGAATGAAGTCCATTAAGGATGTTAATCGAGAATACTAAGGATGTAAATACATATCCTTTGGAAGAGCTCTACGGCACATTAATGACCAATGAGTTAAATAATGCCGAGGTTAAGGAGAAAACGAGAAAAAGTAAGGGGGAATCAAAGGAGCCTCCT